CTAGGTATAAACCTACCTAAGGAGACAAAAGACCTGTATGCAGAAAATTATAAGACACTGATGAAAGAAATTAAAGATGATACAAATAGATGGAGAGATATACCATGTTCTTGGGTTGGAAGAATAAACATTGTGAAAATGACTCTACTACCCAAAGCAATCTACAGATTCAATGCAATCCCTATCAAACTACCACTGGCATTTTTCACAGAACTAGAACAAAAAATTTCACAATTTGTATGGAAACACAAAAGACCCCGAATACCCAAAGCAATCTTGAGAACGAAAAACGGAGCTGCAGGAATCAGGCTCCCTAACTTCAGACTATACTACAAAGCTAGAGTAATCAAGGCAGTATGGTACTGGCACAAAAACAGAAAGATAGATCAATGGAACAGGATAGAAAGCCCAGAGATAATCCCACACACATATGGTCACCTTATCTTTGATAAGGAGGCAGGAATGTACAGTGGAGAAAGAACAGCCTCTTCAATAAGTGGTGCTGGGAAAGCTGGACAGGTACATGTAAAAGTATGAGATTAGATCACTCTGTAGTGCCATACACAAAAATAAGCTCAAAATGGATTAAAGACCTAAATGTAAGGCCAGAAACTATCAAACTCTTAGAGGAAAACATAGGCAGAACACTCTATGACATAAATCACAGCAAGATCCTTTTTGACCCACCTCCTAGAGAAATGGAAATAAAAACAAAAATAAACAAATGGGACCTAATGAAACTTCAAAGCTTTTGCACAGCAAAGGAAAGTGTAAACAAGACCAACAGACAACCCTCAGAATGGGAGAAAATATTTGCAAATGAAGCAACTGACAAAGGATTAATCTCCAAAATTTATAAGCAGCTCATGCAGCTCAATAACAAAAAAACAAACAACCCAATCCAAAAATGGGCAGAAGACCTAAACAGACATTTCTCCAAAGAAGATATACAGACTGCCAACAAACACATGAAAGAATGCTCAACATCATTAATCATTAGAGAAATGCAAATCAAAACTGCAATGAGATATCATCTCACACCAGTCAGAATGGCCATCATCAAAAAATCTAGAAACAATAAATGCTGGAGAGGGTGTGGAGAAAAGGGAACACTCTTGCACTGCTGGTGGGAATGTGAATTGGTACAGCCACTATGGAGAACAGTATGGAGGTTCCTTAAAAAACTACAAATAGAATTACCATATGACCCAGCAATCCCACTACTGGGCATATACCCTGAGAAAACCATAAATCAAAAAGAGTCATGTACCAAAATGTTCACTGCAGCTCTATTTACAATAGCCCAGAGATGGAAACAACCTAAGTGTCCGTCATCGGATGAATGGATAAAGAAGATGTGGCACATATATACAATGGAATATTACTCAGCCATAAAAAGTAACAAAATTGATCTATTTTTAATGAGGTGGATAGACCTAGAGTCTGTCATACAGAGTGAAGTAAGTCAGAAACAGAAAGACAAATACCATATGCTAACCCATATATATGGAATCTAAAAAAAAAAAAAGGGTTCTGAAGAACCTAGGGGCAGAACAGGAATAAAGACACAGACGTAGAGAATGGACTTGAGGACATGGGGAGGGGGAAGGGTAAGCTGGGATGAAGTGAGAGAGTGCCATTGACGAGGATGTCACAAAGAAAGAAAACTACAGGCCAATATCACTGATGAACACAGATGCAAAAATCCTCAACAAAATACTAGCAAACAGAATTCAACAGCACATTAAAAGGATCATACACCATGATCAAGTGGGGTTTACTCCAGGAATTCAAGGATTCTTCAGTATATGCAAATCAGTCAACGTGATACACCATATATATATATAACCACCTGCAAGGTTGGGATAGGGAGGGTGGATGGGAGGGAGACACAAGAGGGAAGAGATATGGGAACATATGTATATGTATAACTGATTCACTTTGTTATAAAGCAGAAACTAACACACCATTGTAAAGCAATTATACTCTGATAAAGATGTAAAAGAAAAAGGCAAAAGTATCACCATTTATGATTAGATTATTTATATCAATAAAATTTTAGACCTTCCAATATGCGTTCATCTACATATCTCTAAAGAATATCATGATTCCCTGATATAAACATCCATGTCATTGTCTTTTTTTTCCCCCCAACATCTTTATTGGAGTATAATTGCTCTACAACAGTGCGTTAGTTTCTGCTGTGTAACACAGTGAATCAGCCATACATATACACGTATCCCCGTATCTCCTCCCTCTTGCGTCTCCCTCCCACCCTCCCTATCCCATCCCTCTAGGTGGTCACAAAGCACCGAGCTGATCTCCCTGTGCTATGCAGCTGCTTCCCACCAGTCATCCATTCTACATTTGGTAGTGTATATATGTCCATGCCACTCTCTCACCTCGTCCCAGCCCACGCCTCCCCCTCTCTGTGTCCTCAAGTCCACTCTCCACATCTGTGTGTTTATTCCTGTTCTGCCCCTAGGTTCTTCAGAACCCTTTTTTTTTTTTTTTTTTTTTTTAGATTCCATATATATGGGTTAGCGTACGGTATTTGGTTTTCTCTTAAGGAAAGTATACAACCTTACCTTTCTGGGTTTTTTCTGCAATAATATGCTATTTGTTTGATATTACATATTCTTCAGTAATGACATAGTTTTGTGATATGATATATATCTTATAATCTTACCAAGATTCCAAAATGTAAAGAGCAGAAAAAAATAAATAAGAGCAATTTTTAAGAGAATAAAAGCCTTTGGCCTTCTAATGAATTTTTAAGTGGCACATCTTAAAGCAGAAAATAAATTAAGCTGGAAAAGAAAAACAGAAGTAGGCACAGAACTATTTTGAAAATCCAAAAATTGCATTATCTGAGCATATAAAATGGCTCAACAAGGCTACTTATTAAACAATTAACTCATTCTTTAAACTATAATGTGTTTTATTTGTAAACCAGTATCATTTTTATTTTAACATACACTTCCAAATATACCCTGGAGTCATTTTTGGAAAATAATTAGTCCTAAAAAACAAAAAAGGAGTAAGCTGTATTACTACTGCCCTAAGGTGGCTCTGTGATTTTATTAAAAATTAAATACTCTTTAGAGGCATTATTCAGTAAGATATTAAAAATATACTTTTTCCAGGGCTTCCCTGGTGGCGCAGTGGTTGGGAGTCCGCCTGCCGATGCAGGGGACACGGGTTCGTGCCCCGGTCCGGGAGGATCCCACATGCCGCGGAGCGGCTGCGCCCGTGAGCCATGGCCGCTGAGCCTGCGCATCCGGAGCTTGTGCTCTGCAATGGGAGAGGCCGCAACAGTGAGAGGCCCGCGTATCGCAAAAAAAAAAAAAAAAAAAATACTTTTTCCAAAGTTATTTACAATGTATTTCCACATCACAGACTTACTGGACACTTGAATTTGCAGTGAAATATCTGTTACCCTTTCTTCTTTGATTAACCGTTGCTCTAACTGCGACATGCTGCATTAATTTTTAAGGCTTTTAAAGTGGAAATTACAATGCCTGCTGTGATAATTGTAATTCTACCCTAACTGTGGCAATCACTTTAAAACTACTTCTTTGCTTATCATTAGCAATGCTAAGTGATAAAAATAATTATATCAAGAGTATTCTGGGAAATGACTGTTTAACAATTTTTAATATTCTGAAAAGCTCAATCTAGATAACTCTCAGTACCATGGATTAGGATACTGTCTGATGGCATGGACCCTTCTAAATTTCCTCTAATTAAGTAAAATCCCCAGATGGTTCTCAATCAATCAATCCCCCCAACCACTCTTCTCTCTAGCTACCTCCCTTATAGCCAGGCTCATTGAACCAGCTGCCAAACTTTAGGCTGACAACAGAATAATCAAGGTAGAGCAATTTCCTGGGATCAAATCAATTCAGATTCAAGCCTGAAAGGCTTAGAGCTGCTTTACCTTGGGGCAACTAGTCATCCAGTAAGTGTCAGATGGGTTAAAGTGAAAAGCACTCCACAATGAGTGCAAAGTGATCACTTCCTCCATCTTTTATATGTCCAAGAAATTCATACGTAAAAATGAAAGCATCTTTTCCATGACAGCTCATCTGTCATGAAATAAGCATCTGTCACTCTTAAGTGCTGACAATTGATTTTATAAATATAATTGCCCTACATTTTGCTTTCTTTTGAAAGAAAGTCGACTTATCCAAATGACTATTCTTCTGGAACACTCAGAGTTCTTGACAAGTGACAAATGACAAAGCAGAAGTGATAAACCAAGACTAAACATGGATAAAAATCAATCATGACTTTCCTGCTTATTACCTTAGAAACATCTGGGTTTAATTCAATGCAAAGATACAGTTGAGAATCAACATAGGAGCATAAAATCCATTTAAAGTAACTGATTATACAAGAGAAAAGATGATGTGAAATGCATACACAGATCAATGAAATGCTTTTTGTTGCTATCAAAGAGGCACAAAAGTCTTAAAGAGGTTTGAGATCTGATAATACCGTCAGCGAGATTATCAATGTCACTCACTTAACTTATAGAAGCTGCCAGAAAATGCTCCAGTAGTAACGGCTGCATTTTAAACGCTTCTTTCTGACCAATACTTAAGTTGAAATATACAAATAAATGAGATTTTAAAATACATGCATTGGGGGAAAAGGCATGTGATATTAAGGAAGATTTTGTGATTCTCTTCCATTTGGATATTAAAGAATAATTTCAAATTAGGGAACTAAAAGCTATACTAGAGGAGGAGAGTGGATCTATTTTAAGCGTAAACTCTAAAAAGCCACAGAATGTTAAAAGATTACAAAGGCTTTAAAACGCTTTTAAAAACTAAGTTACCTTTTACCTTGAAATAGTCTAGACATAAAGACTCTTCTATCAAGAACATCTTGATAGGTTATATGCACAGCATAGCATTCAAGTGTTTGTTCAAAGGACATATGAATGAATGGTTGGTCACAGCAAAAACCAGTCCTCAGGAATCTGGCTTTTATACCTGATTATTCTTGTCTGTCAGTTGATCAAGAGTTTCAGATTGTTTCTCCAGTGCTCGCTCTAACTTCTTATGCTTAAGCTTCCACTGCCTAATGGACTCCTGAGCTTTCACCTTCAGCTCTTCTCTCCTCTCCTCTGCCACCTGTCTCAGGGCCTCCGACTGCTGGAACTCAAGGAGGTACTGCTCGGCCTGATTGGTTGCATCCTCAGCATGCTGAGTCAGCTTTGAGATCTGGAGGTCAGCGCACTTATGTCTGGCGTCACATGTCTCAAAGTGATTCTGGATCTCCTTCAGTTCATCCAACATCTCTAGTTGCTGTTTCTCCCTGTTCTCCAATTCACATGTTAAATTCTAGGAAGAAAGCATGTGAGATATCAGGAACACGTTCTTGTCAAAATTAGATGCATAACATATCATCAAACAAGAATCACTAACGTCACTAAATTAGCAATCAATCTAGAAAATATGATCTTTTTCCATGTATTTTATGATCACACTAGTTGAGAATAATTTTTTATAAAAATATTTTCTTTTTTAGACTACTTCATTATCCAAAAAGGAAAAATATTTTTTTTTCCAATTGACTGTCACTAAAATAGAAGGTCTTGCTGATGAGAAAAACAATGTGCATTACTTTAGTAAGAACCTAGTGTTTTGTACAACTGAAGAAACGTCAATGTTTTAAAATTTGTCAGCTATCAGAGCAATTATATGCAATCATACGTAATGCTTCACTTTTTGGCAGCACCTAAAATTTTGTTATAATAAAATAAAACTCTGTAACAAAAATTGAGCATTGATGATAGAAACATCAGTAATAGATAACACTGTATGTGAAAGTCCATTTAAAAGACTCTCTATAGATAGGTTATTTCCAGCTAAATCAACATAATGTTGTAAGTTGATGAACTTACCTCGAGCTTATATAAATCACTGCAGGATAGATTTTTAAATAAACTTAAATTTATGTGGAATACATACCTAATCAAGAAAAGAACCTAACTTTTTTTTTTCTTTATTTTTTTAAGAACCTAAACTCTTAAAAGCTAGCTTCCTCAAACCAAAAGTGGTCAATAATACATTTGGAACTTACACTTAATCATCATGATTCATACATATTTTTAATCTGAGAAGAATGGGCAAAGATGGATTGTTAACTTCAAAAATGAGAGGACATTATATAACATTCTATACAAATAGAAGAATGAATATAATCATTAACATTAAGCCACTCTTGTAAAACTCTGGAAGGGAGTGACAAGTTCAAATACAAGTGCTTCCAATGTATCCCATAAGCTGTCCCTCCTGAGCCTTAGTTTCCAAATACCTGTGGTTACAACGGTGACATGAAAATGTCATGTGTCCAAGTAAGACTAGGTTCAGAAGGCTAAGATGATGCTGCAAGCTGGACAAACAATAAATATCATCTACACTGTCCTGAAGCACCTACAGAGACTGGAAACATTTAAAAACCTCCTATGACTCTAACAGCAGAATTTTCAGTTCCAGATTCATCATCCCTGAACTGTGGCTCAAATAAAGTTAAATTTCTCTCATGATTAAAGTCATGGTGTGACATTATGGCAATAACATAAAAATAATGCCTCGAAAACAAGAGGTTTGCATTTGCTCAGTTTGCTAAATTCAATGCAGCCTGGAAGAGATGAGTCACTCCTTTATCCACCCAAACAAAATAGTAAATTGAGAACTGTGCACTTGTTTGTGTGGAAAATTCTAAAATGAGATCAGAAAACCCTAGTGATGGTGGTTTACCCCTTTGCCCTTATCTAAAAGTTTTACCACTATGCCAGAAATCAGCTTTATTAACAAGCAGTAGTCAAGTGGTTTCCAGATCAACAGAGAGACACCATTTTTTTCCCCACAACAAAGACTTGGGAGACTGGTTTCACTTGCTATGTGTTAGGCAGATAATTTACAGAAAGGTTAATAAGATCTGGCTACAACACCAAAGAAGATAATAATCTAACTGTGGAGATATTCAGACTATCAGCTAAATTACAAGAGTGGATAGTACAAGGTGATGACGGACAGCTACTTGAACGGGTCTATATTCTACAGCGTGGCTGGGGAGGGTCTCTTAGGAGGTGACATATGAGCTGAGATCTAAACGAGAAGGAGCTGGCAATAATAACAACAACAACTACTACTACTACTACTACTAAAGTTCATTAAGCAGTTAAGTTGTGCAAGGGATAGTGCAAATGCTTTATACGAATTACCTCATTCAATGCCACCACAAAACTAAAGTAAGGCACTCTTACTATCTTGGTTTTACTGAAAGGTAACGAACACTTGGAACTTGCCCAAGTTCACATACCTAACAAGTGAGAGCACAGGATTCAGGCCCAGATAGTCTGACTCCAGAGCCCATGTTTTAAACTCTTTACTAAGCTTTCAGATTCCCAGAGGACCCTAACTCCATGCCTCTTAGGTCACCCACTCCCATAGTCCTATCCTAGGGTTTTTTTCAGAACTGTCACCTTTGAAGCAAAAGGTATGTCCAACCCCACCCCTCCCCATTATCTCCCCCTCAGGCCTCTGGCTTTATCTACCAATCTTCCCAGTTCCCTTTTCTTCTCCTTTTCTTCTGATACATCTGTTCCTCATTGTCAAGAGGATGACCATTCCCTTGATATTCCTTTTGCTGATTTTAAATTCCAGGCTCTTTAACCTAATTTTCTTAATTTCACTTTAGCCACTCCCTTGCTCACATCTCAAACTCCCTTTAAAAACTGCTCATCTACTGAACTTGAACAGCAAAACCACCAACTCTGGAGGAACTACAAAAATCTCCTATTTTCTATATCAGGTTACTCAGTCCTCCAAGGAAAATCACACATGAGTATCAGGCGATGTGATGGGACACTGAAAGCCATCCTCAGTGCCCAGAAATTCTTCTGCAGGCCCCCACCCAGTCCACTGTACTATCTCTGAACCTAACAGCTTTTTACTCACTGTAGGATATAACATACCTCCCCCGTGAGAAATAAAATTGAGGCTATTAGGCAGGACACCCCCCAAATTTCCTACATGTACCATCCTGAATCTTACCAATGGTTAGTCTCTCCTCCTCCCTAGGCTCTGAGGAAAAGGGATCTTTTAGAGAAACTAGCCTACCTTTGCTATTTCCTTCCACATCCATCAAGGGATTCACTATACCAGTTATGTCCTCTCCTTCATGTACTGAACCTCTCTTTCCCTACTAGATCATTCTTCTCTACTTCTCCCACCTTAAAAAACACAGTAATTTTTTTTTAAACTAAACAAACAAAACAACCTTTATCAATCTGACATGATCTTCTAACCAGCACCCTGTACTCTTCCCTTCCTGTTAAACTCCTGCAAAGAGCAATCTACACTTGATGCCCCACAATCTTATTTCCAATTCACCTCTCGATTCACTGGTACCGGTCCCGATACACAATTAAAATAACTCTCATCAAGATCCCCAAAGATAACCTACAGCCAAATACAATGGACTCTACAAATCTTTCCTAATATCCTTGTTGAATGTGGCACTGCCAATTACTTCTGCTCATTCTTAATCTCTCTTCTTCCCTGACTTTCATAATATACTCTTCACTAGTTCTCCTTTTTCTTCCTGTTTTTTCATAGTCTCCTTCCCTGGGTCTCTTCAAATATTTGGCTTTTAAATAGAGATAACTGTACAGGGTTCTAGTATTAAGCATCATTCCATCTAGACAATGCCTTTGGTGGTAAGTATATAGGTAAACAGAGATATAAGTGATTCCTAATTCAGAGCCAGACTCATCTTCTCAACTCCAAACCTTTAAATATCTAATTACGTAATGACTTTCTACACTTGGTAATCCCACGGGCATCTTAATTTCAGCACGTCAAAAAAGTGAATTTATTGGATGCCCAACTCCTAACAAAAAAAATAGTCTTTTTAAAATAGCAGTAAAGGCTCTCTGCTGAGGAAGGATAAAAATGGAGGTGGACTTGTGTATTTAAATACAGTGAGAAAGTTGGAAATAACTGCTGTAGGAAAAGAGAAAATCAACAAGAGATAAATGTTTAAAAGCTGACAAATATAAATGAGGTTACAGTTAGACAGTCTCAAATTTCTAATGGATCCAAGAGTATACAAAATTCTTCGAATTTCTCCAGCATTTCTTTTGAATCCAGAAATAAAATAAGTTCAGCATTATTTATCCTTCTGTCATTACAGAGCACAAGAATAGGCACAGGATTAATATATGCAAGCCCAGAGCTTAACAACATAATAGGAAGATCCTATTCAGTCACTCTTCTGACATTCTCTTTAATCCATCTTCCTCAAAAAACCAATCAGAATAATCTCATTGTAATAAACATTTCTCCCCCACAAATCAAAAGATTATGCTATAGAACCCTCATAACAATTCCTCCAATAAACACACACACTCATACATACATACACACACATCACACACATATACACAGAGAGAGCACATGAAGCCTACAAACACATCATTAATGCATGGATAAATGCTTTCAAGGTAGGCACGTATAGTAAATATTAGTATCCTCCTATGTACTACATGAAACGTTAAATGGAAGGCAATTTTCTTATTTATTCCATTATGATGATTTTCAATGCCAACATTACTGTCATACATTCCTGGAAGCACCTTCTACCCTGAAGAACTTTTTATATTTAAATTGTGTGAAATTATCTCAGCTACTAAAGCTGGTTAAATTTCGTATTACTTAATTAAGCCCATTATTTATTTCTCACTATGTAAGTAACCATCAAAGATAAGAACAATCCAGAAACACACTTTTTACCAAGAATTCCTTCCAGTTGGAGGGGAGGAAAAAACTTTAGAATCCTAAAGGGAACCTTTTTAGTTTCTGTGGCTGGGCCTGAGAATTAAACTAACATAAGACAGATTAACAGGAGAAAAGAACATGAATTTTATTTAATACTTTTATGTATACATAGGAGCCTTCACAGAAAAAAGAAGATGCAAAGAAGTGGTTGGGACTGAGCGCTTATATACCTTTTTAACAAAGAATTTATGGAGAGATGACAAGACAAAGGAAAAGGGATTTAATAGTGGGAAAGTGACTAGGAAATATATGGGGGAATGAAAGATAAGGGTTATTTTAGGTTTGTTTGTACAGATTCATTTTGGCATCAACTCCCAGTCTTCAATGATGACAGTGTTCTTCTCTTCCTGGTACAGAGAGAGCACCTTCCTCATGGGAAATACTGACCTGCTTTTAGGTAGAAACAGGAGGTCAGAGAGCCCTTCCTGCATCTACTGGTTCTCAAGTGCCCTTGGCTGAAAATACTCAATATGCCAAAGTGGCATATTTTCAGG